AATTTTGACCTCCACCACCCATGTAGAGAGGGACGGTGTCCTCCTGTTGTCTGTAAATTTGCATTAGTGTCTCCTTTTGTTATTTATCTTTTCAGTTCTTAGAGCAGTTGTTGTTTTCTCTGTCTTGCTAAAACAACTGTTGACATACATATTACTGTATTATTCCAGATAGAGAGAGCAATTATATATTCTATATGATTACTCAATGGAAGCCTCTTTTACAACATTACAAATAAATATTATGCTTTTGAAGCATCCCTGTGGTGCTCATAAGTCATAATATTTAATGCTTCACCATTCTAATACATAAGCACATATTACTTGTTGACTTGTTACATCACCCTACTAATGCAGTCAACTAGGTTGTTACTAATAGAAGCTTATGCCCTTGAAGCATAGGCTAGAGAGGGAGGGATGGAGATTGAGATATTTTTAAAGCTATATATGTATGGACCTAAAGTTATTTAGAACAGCTTTTTTTTTTTTTGTCGAAAGAACAGCCTGGATAGCTTAAGCCCACACAATGGAGGCGTTTGCTGAAGTGTTAATTTCTTAGGATCTTTTTGCTAATAAATTCAAACCATGGTGTTAAACACAGACTTGAAACTCATTGCTTTCGTGGTAAGTTACCATGGACTTTAAGCCCTTACATTTTCTAATAGTTGTATACATTTTCACTTATCATAAATAAGTATGACCGCATCACTTCGTGTTATGAACAAGTTTCTTATTTTTCCTGGAGGTCAATGCTATTGTGGCTTCATGTCAATTTCGTAGAGAATAATCAAGCTACTAAATATGCTGGAAGTAATATTAACTCCAAAGAGGACATCAAATTTTCAATACCATCAAATGTTATTCAGCAGATTATCTCTCATTTCTTTGTTTTGGAATACTTAAAAGAAAGAGGAATAGTTAGATTCTCAATTGAATAAATCTTATGCAATGGTGTTGTGCTTTCTAAATTACACATGCTATATTTCCTTCAGACTTTGGTTTTGTTTTGTTATATTTATTTATTTAAATTTTGGTGCTAATCATATATATATATGAAAGTTGATCCTTTGTTGAGGCAGCTTCTTTGGAGTCTAGGCCAACAGTTGATTAGTGAATACATTTTGTGGATAATACACAAAATATGTATATGTTCAATACCTTTAGATATTAAAAGATGTCTGTCTGCGCACATGGGTGTGTGTTTTTGTACATGTGCTTGTGCTGTGTTATTTGTCTTGTTTGGACAGGAGGTAGGTCTTCAGATTTTGTAAATAAATAAATCTTTTGTTCTTGCTGTTTTCTTCTTGAGGAGGGTTTGATTGATGAAAAATGTGGTCGGAAACTGCGGGGTTGATGAGCACTGAAATTGGCTAGGGTAAACTTATAGTAGCTATACGTAGGCAGGAGCATAGCTTATTATAAACTAGTTGATGCTCCCTTTTCAAGTCAAAGATGTTCATATATTGATTCGCTTGATTTTGGCCTTCAAGTATTTGTTGACATTGTTTTTATACAATTGATCTTGATATTATGCTGTGTGTGTCTACTAGGAAATGAAGAAACTTATAAATTTTTCAGTAAAAAATTGCTCATATTTAACAAGAAAGGAATACAATAAGCCAAGTGATACATATGGGCTGACCATTTTCAGGTAAGCATATTTAAAGAACGTGGAGAGCTGGAATTACTTCAATAGACTTAATCTCAAACAATATCTGTCACCTGTCTTTGCCTCATTTTCTTTCTTGCTCTTTTTTTCTCTTCAAATGATAAATGCTGAATAAGTTATTTATGTCGATTTGAATGAGCAAAACTGATCAAATATTCTGATAAAATTCATGATCACTAAGAGGGTGGAAATGGAGAAACTTGTGTTACAGCAGGTTTTGCTGCTTTTTGTGTTTTTTCTTTTTTCATACTATAGAAAATCATAGTGTGTTCTGAGTAAGAGCTAGTTATTGCCAATAACTGTTATAACTGGATATATATCCTGTTTTATTTCTTGCTTTGAGTAATTTAGATATTCTTTTTTCTTTTGTCCTATGAAATTAAGTGGTGTTGGGAGCAAGAACTTCTTGGCTTTCCCGTGTGTTTGCCACTTTCCCTTGGGAAAAGGTGGAAGGAGAAGATGGCGCATAAACCAGGAAGTACTTTGTTTAAGTCTGGGTGGATTTAGTCATGCGTTATGGGCTCACTGGAAAATGAAGGGAACTAGGTTCTAAACTTGATTATAAAAAAACACTAATACATTAAACTCTTGAATGTACAAATATTGTTAGTTTTTGTATTTTCTTGGGCCGTTCTCCGTTTATCATGTGCGTAACATGCATTACATGCGTGTACTGTGTACATATGCATATATGGATGGATGCACATGAAATGTGTATTTTCTTGTTTGTTCATATGTATAACTATATTCAGCTTACATATACAAAATCATATATTTTTGTCTTTCTACAAGTGGGGTGGGTGGGAAGGGCAGTCATATATTTTTGTCTTTCTACAAGTGAGTTATATGCCATCAGAATCATTAAAATTCTATCGAAAAAGCATGTCAAATGTTATTCTTTGATACTTTCTATTTTCTTGCACCAAAATTCTATTAGTTGGTTGGAATCAAAATTCTTCTCTCTTCCTCACCCTCCCCACTCCTCTCACAAAGCTGGTGTTTGGAGAATTTTACTGCTGAAACTTTTCTGAGATTGGAATCACTTTTGACGATATCCTCATTTCTAGGCAATTGTGGGAAGATTTAATATACAAAAATACAACTTGGTTCTTTAAATTTCAACTTAAATATGTATGATGGTATAAATGATTGGCGTGACTTTGGAGAAGAGATCACTGAGTAGGTCTAAAGAAATGGAAGGGTGGTCCAGAGTTTAAAGGAAGTTGTTTAGCAGAGAGAGAATTCTATACTTCTTACTTTTTTTTATTGTCTCAGTGCTTAGGGTACCTTAATTTAGTGTGTCAAATCTTTAAGTTTTCCACTCCATCTTCACATGGGAAATATTCATTTTGAAGAAAGCAAAAGTTTCCAAAGGTTGGGAAGAAGTTTGTTAGAGAGAGAAGTCTTAGTTCGTAAGGCTCCTGACAGAAGACAGCTTCTTGGTTATCTGAAGTTGCCTTTTAATTCAATGACATAACATTTCCTTTAGTTTTTGACTTCACCTTTACCATTTTGCTTGACCAATATTCTGGGTTTTAGGAATTTCAAAATCATGCTTTGTTTGTTCTCTTTTTGAAAGTAGATTATTAGTCCAACAGTTGATTTGTTGGGAAGAGATGCTGGTCCCTACAACACTCTTTAAGCGAATAAATGCTCATCTCAAAACGAATCTGAAGGCCCCATTGTCTGAGACCCACATTTTCATTTTTATGCATTTGGAACAGAAAATGGAGCACTACATTTTTCTCTCTCCTTTTCTTTTCTTTATTTATGCAACATAGAAAGGCTAAGCCATCATTGATACACATGGTGTTTTTTAGGGGTGGCATTTTAAACCGAAAAACCGAAAAACCGCAAAAACCAACTGATAATTTACCGCAATGAAACCGCATTTGCGGTATTAAGAACCGAACCGCATTTGCGGTTGCGGTTGCGGTATTTGATTTTCAAAACTTGCGGTTACCGCAAACCGCAAAGTATAGCTTTTATTTGTAGATAATATTGGTGCTCAAACAACACAACGAGGTTCTTCAAATCCACTCACCACCAACACTTGAGTTTGTAACATTGGTGCATTGCATTTTCCTTTTAGTTTGTAACTTTAATTAACTTTGAATTGGATTTTTCTTTTTTGTTGTAACTTTAATTCATTTTGCTTTGCATTTTCCTTTTGGTTTATAACTTTAAAGGATTTGGAATTGGAATGCTTGAGAAGTTTAACTTTAATTGGAATGCTTGAAATTGTAACTTTAATTTTCTTAGGTTGTGAATGCTTGAGAAGTTGAAGAGATTGTGAATTTATATATGTTTGAGAAATTGAGGTTGTGTATTTATTTATTTAGGCTGTGAATTTATATTTTTGTGAATGCTTGAGAACTCGCGGTTTTAAACCTCTAATTCGCGGTAACCGACCGCATTTTGCGGTTTATCGCAATGCGGTAAACTGCAAAACGCGGTCGGTTTGCGGTTTCAAAAATCACCAAACCGCAAATAGTCGGTCGGTTTGCGGTTTGAGTAAAAATTCGCGGTTACCGAACCGTAATCACCCCTAGTGTTTTTGGTCTAAAGTGGATACTGTGTTGATCAATTTTTGTCACAAATTGACCGACTGAGAAAACTAGTTTGGGCATATAACTCGCAGGAAAAAATAAAATTTACAAAGACAAAAGAGCACTTGTGAGTTTGATATGAGTAAAACTCTCATTCCGATGTTTCATACACATTTCTCTCTCTCTCTCTCATCACATCTCAGCGAAAGGTGTATGAAACATGAGTAGGCAAGTTTTTATGGTTTGGTACATCCATCTTGGCGGCTCTTATTGTAGTTTGGGTACAATTTAATGTAAAAGAAAGGAGCACCATGCAATATGCTCGCTTGCAGCCACAACAGTCTTGGCCAACAATAAAAGGATTCATTACTTTAGTGAGCTCCCAACCAACACCAGAACATTAGTCAACAACATTATCTCCCGAAAAGATAGAAAAAGAAAAAGAGAATGAATATGTAAGGAAAGAAAAGTAATTAAAATGAAAAAAATAAAAAATAAAGCAAAAAAGAACACACAGCAGCAGCATCCTGCAGTCTTTGCTTTGCTCTGCTTTCCATGTAAGCTGCTTTGGCCTCCCAACCCATCTTGTCTCTTCAATCAAATTTATATTGCCCAAACTCTGTTATTGTACTTGCTGTTCTTGCCTTCAAAACTCTGCAGAATCTGAAAAATTCAGTGTCTTAGATTTTGCTAATGTGTTCTTGAACCTTGATCATTGTTGGGAAGAAAAAATCCCCAAGCCATCCAATCCAAATACCAATCTTCAGGTAAACTTTTGTTTCTATTTAGTCTTTGTGTTAATGTCTAGGGCAAATTGTATTGAATGATTTGTCCTACTGTCTGAAATTACATTTCTCTCTCTGAAAAAAGTGAACCAGAGGGAAGAAAGAAAAATATGATATTGAGAATATCAGCAAAATAGAAATTTTCTGTGGGTGGTTTTGGAATTTAGATTAGCGATGGGTTCTCTAGGAGGCAGCCCAAAAACTTGGATACCATATATGAACACCAAAGATTGTTCTCAAGGGTTTTGCAGTTTGTACTGTCCACAATGGTGTTACAGGATAATACCTCCTCCACCTGTCCTTGAGTTTCCTGAAGACAATTCATCTTCCCCAAGTTTCTCTCCTCTTGTTATTGCAATTATTGGCATTTTGGTGAGTGCTTTTCTTCTTGTTAGCTACTACACCATAATATCCAAGTACTGCGGCAATGCAGACCGGAGGAGAGCGAGAAGAGAAGATCAGGAGCAGAATGAGGAGATGGAGGATCCTCACAATCCCTCCATCCATGAACCCTGGCATGTCATGACGGCCGGCTTAGACGAGGCTTTGATCAAGTCATTAACAGTTTGTAAGTACAAGAAAGGAGATGGATTTGTTGAAGGAACAGTTTGCTCAGTTTGTCTGAGTGAGTTTGAAGAAGATGAGAGGCTTAGGCTGTTGCCTAAGTGCAACCATGCTTTCCATCTCCCATGCATTGATACATGGCTTAAATCTCACTCAAATTGCCCGTTGTGTCGTGCCAACATAGTTCCTCATCAGTTGCTTCACCCTGCCGTGATTGAAACTCCATCATCAACCAATCATGATGCATCATCCATGGCTGAAAGCCAACCAGCACATGATCAAAATGTTGTCATGGCACAAACTTCCGAAAGGGGTCCTTCTCAAAATGAGGAATCAATGCAAGGAGATCATGAAGGGTATCATCAAGCAATTAGAAGGTCGGTTTCCATGGACGATTGGCGTCAGAATAATCGAGTTTTAGTAGCTGATATTCTCAGCAGATGATGAAGAGGATGAGGAGGACGATATGAACTCAGAGTCAGATGATATTGCTGAAGGAGTTGGCAAATCTAGCAATAGAAAAGGGGTGCTCCTGCATTGTGTTATGAGTCCTGTTGCAATGAAGAGATCATTTTCAAGTGGAAGATTCTTTCCCACTAGGCCTTCAAGAGCACGGAATACAGTACTTCCAGTCTAGAAAACTTTTTGTATTTTGGTTTCTTTTGGGGGAATGTGGATTAAGCTGGCAAATCAAACAGTTTGGTCCGGATTAATTAGCTATTACAATTATTTGTTCATGATCCATTAATGAGTGATTTGTAATTCTCTACCAATCGAAAATTATAGTATACAACTAGTGTATAAATCATCCTTTTTTAGGTACTAAAACCAACATATGAAGGTCGTTCTTGTCAAAAGGGCATTGTATACACATGTTGTATTCTAAAATCTCTCCCTTTAATATATTGTTTCTTTGGAGTCAGTTTTAATTATTTTTGTTACCCATGGGATTGTACTCGATAAATTTTGGATTTGCATGTTCAAATTTTATAAATAGTCATTTTGACAGAGTGATTTCAAATTTAGATTTTTTTTTTTTTTTGAAATGTCAAATTTAGAGAAGTTAAATTGTTTATTTAAACTATCAAGATTCAGAGGCCTTAATCTGTACCAAGATTTGAATTTAAAAAAATGAAAAAAAAATTCAAATGAATGATTTTTTTTGCATTTTATTTATTTATTTCATTTTTTGCCAGCATAATTACTTAGGCTTTTTATTATTTTTTTATTTTTAGTACAAGTGTTTGGGGGATGGGGATTTACACAAATATTCATTAGGAGTCTGGGAGTTTCGAACCTACGCATATGGGTGGAGGTTGAAGAGCTCAACCAACTGAGCTATACCCCACTAACCTTAATCTTAAATCTTAACAAATGCTCATTTGCCAACAAATTAAAAAAATAAAAAAATAAAAAAAGATTTCAAATGAATCATTTTTTGATTTAAACTTAGTTATTTCATTTTTGGCCAGCATAATTGCTTAGCCTTAAATCCTAACAAATGTTCCCTTGCCAACAAAAAACAGTTAAACACCCCAACTTCTATTTTCATATATTAAATCCAGAAGTATGGTTTGATCAAATTAGAGTAGCCATGGATTCACGGCTCACTACTACCAACATCAATATTGTCTTCAACTTAACAATCTACGTAATTCGGTAGGTGTGTGATTTTATACAAAAATTCTGGATATTATTAATAGTGGAACCATTCATTGTATGTTGTATTTTATTTAGTCAAATTTTTGATGTGGGACTCATATTCTTCAACACACTCCCCCATACGTGCAACAAATTCCACATCGTAGACCTTCTCTCACCAGTTATTTGAGGTGCTTTTTCTGAGCAAAACAATCGTATGTGAAATGGACGTTCGTCCCATGGAAGGCATAATATTTTCTGATAACTCTCTTGGTTGGATTTCCCTTCAAAGGTAGTAGTCTCTTCACCCAAGGCTTGTCTTTTACTTGGGCTAGGATTTGATGTATGGGGATAGAGAACTTAGTGTAGTTCTCATATGTTATAGCGTCTCCATGGGGTTGCGACATGCGCTTGGTACTTCTCTCGGTAGGTGGGTCGGCCTGCTTGGTAGAATTTTTCGTGGAAATTCAATCGTCATCCCAGAGCGCGTAACGTTCCATAGTCACGAAGATGTCTGCTAAAGTCTGGTTGGGAGCAACAGTCAGCTCAAGGTATAAGTTGTGCTCTATTGGCAAGCCCTTCTTGAAGGTAGAGGATGCGATTCGGTCATTGCAACCTACGAAGTTAGCCTTTTTCTACATTGAATGTCTTGATGTAGTCTTTAAGGGACTCATCATGCTTCTTGTGCAAGTTGAACATGTGGTCAAAGTTCTTTTTGATCGTCCGATAAGAAGTGTACTTTTTGGTGAAGATGAATGCTACCTCCTTGAAGCTGTTGGTTGATCGGGATGGTAGGGTATGAAACCAATCATGAGCTGCTCCTTGTAAGGTCATGATAAACACCTTGCATATCAGTGCATCTTTGGCCTTGTAAATAACCATAACACTTTTGAGGTGCTTCAGATGGCTCTCGGGATCAGAATTCTCTTTGAAATGTGTGAAACAAGGTGTTGAGAATTGCTTTGGTGGTGCCGCTTGTTCGATCTGAACTGTGAATAGTGAGGAGTTCACTAGGTCCACCTCCTTGTGCAGAGCATCTTCGAAATCTCCTCTAATCTTTAAGTCTCGAAGTCGGTCATTCAAGAGCTTCTCGACATCTTCTACGCACATGGTCTGCGGTTCACGTCTGTGTCCTCTATGGTTCAGGCGTCGTTGGTTTACCTTCTCGTTGTCTCTAAAAGGCAGATCTCTTTGACTGTCCTGCCTGTGTGGCGTATTAGTGGACTGAGCTTGCGAGGAAATCTCTATAGCTTGTCATTGAAAGTTGGCTCCTTAGGACCAAGCATGTAGGAGGTTTTTTTTCTTGTATTTCATGGGGTTGATCGTGAGGTTGATCTTCTCAGAGGCATAGTCTCACAGCCCAGGCGGGCATGAACATCGGGTTGTGGGCCGAACCTCTCATGCACATTGATTCTTGAACCTGATCGATCGGAGACTCAATCTGCTTTGAGCATGGCTTGCGGATGCTTGGGCCATGCCAACGTGCTAAACACCACACTCTTGTCTTCTCTTTGTCTGCTTGCTCCTCTCGAATTATCTGCGGGTGCATTCATCCATCCTTCTCTCTTCACATTGTGGTCCAAGGGTAAGTTCTCAGACCAAGTCAATTTGGTTGAGAAGCTGTCCAACCAAGTTGTTTTTGTCGTCCATTATCTGAGTGAGTTGGTCAACTCTAAGATTGAGGTTTGCTTGGCTTTGTGGATCAGGAGGAGAGAATTGTGTGGAACCTAATTGCACACGTGCTAGGGTTTCATTGGAGGTGTACACCGAAGTGTACGTCGAGTGTGAAGGCAAATGATGAAATAGTTGTACTTGTTCCATGATAGGGCCATGACTTGCATCTATGGCGGCACCGAGATGGTGCTCCAAGAATCCGGCTGTGAAGCCATATGAATGGTGGTTGGATCCAGCCGCTAGGCCTTAAGGATGCAGGTTGGTTCCGACCAAGGAACCGTAAGGAAGGATGGCTATTTCAGCCATGGATATGTGCCGTAGCACGGTGGCTTACATCAATGGACTGCGAGGTGGCGCAGCTGTTGGAACCGTGATCTTGGTCGCGGCGCAGAGAGGGAAGACGGTGGCAGCGGCTAGAACCATGGTGGAAGCCACGGTACTGTTGGGAAATTAGGTCGTGAACTCGATGGCAGAAAGTGGCAGCTGTCGTGGTGTCATGGAGGCTCGTATCCTTCGCAGATTGTGTCATCGTGGAGATCTTTTTTCTCGTGCGCTTGCTTTTAACCATGGTTGTTTGGAAGACTTTGGTTGAGTGATGAAAAGGAGGAAACGGGTTCCTTTGATTCAATAGCATGAGTTGAGTATAACTCGCACTCTCAATGAAAGCACCAATTTGTTTGTGTAAATTTCTCACAAGAGAATATTCGCATGTAGATTCTTCACCCTTTGAGTTTCCCTTTCTCTCTTCCTCAATTCCTGCGAAATGAGTAAAAGACACACTCGTGGGAGTGTTGGCCAAAGGCCCTCAGATGCCTAAGTTAGTTCAATTAGACCTTTGACAAAAGATGTGGCAATAGCTAAAAAGGATGTAGAGCCGAGTGCTTGGAGCCGTGTGTGGTAGCATTTAGCCATGTGGGAGAGAGAGAGAGAGAGAGAGAGTCTTGAATGTGGCCATGTATTTATAAGGCTTTAGCCATTTTGGGTTTTTCAAAGAATAATTCCTATTTGGAAGGATCTTTTTCTCCCTAACACAAGAAAGCTCTCGTGGCCCAACACTCCATCTCATATATTCTGTGTGGCGCCACCTCTCCTCAAGTGAGTCTGTGAATTCATTTTTTAATTTTTGGAATAAATATCCAAATTCTTCTTTATGTTAGGGATTATATTATTTGGATTTGATATTTGTTTTGGATCAGATCATTTAGGGGGCGTTTGGTATCCTATTCAAATAGGGAACTCAAAAACTTTGATTTTTCTTAAAAATAAGGAGTTCTTAAATATATTTTTAAGATTCAAAAACTTGTTTGGTATGCAACTTGAAAACTGTTTTCAAATCTTAAAAATTTAAGAACTTGTGGGTTGTTAGAAAAAAACTGAAAAAACATATATTTTTTTTTTTTGTTTTTAATAATTGAGGTGTTTTTTTTAGTTGTTCTTGAGTTTGAGTTTTTAAAAATAGGGCTACTAAACAGGTTTTTTTTGTTTTGAACTCAAATTCTGTTTTTAAGATTAAAAAAGTTGGATTCAAATTGAATACCAAACAGACCTTAGGCATTTCTTCTTTGATTATTCGTGGGGCATGTCCAGTTTTTTGGAGGCTGTGTCTTATTTTCTTAGAACATTTATAAACTTTTATATTTTTTTTCAATGATATTGGTTTTATTTACTGGGTAATGGCAATTTTTTTATTGTTTGAGATAAAGTGACGATTTGGGATATTGTTTCTCTGTTCACGATTTGGGATATCTGGAATATTTATTGTTTGTTTTTTTTGTTTGTTTGTTTTGTTTGTTTTTTTGTTTTTTGTTTTTTTTGTTTTTTGTTTTTTTGCAGTTGTTTAGCATCTCTCTTGGTGAGCTTTGAAGTGATCCAGAGGCTCTAGGTATTGATTTTAACTTTTCTTTTTAGTTTGGGTGTAAATTGGGTTTGAATTTGTACCGATCTATTAAGTTTTATATGGAGGATGTTTTGAATTTTTTGGATGGTTAGCGTCTGATAATTTTCAGGTTTCGATTTGGGGTTAAAATTTTTGTTTTGGATGATTTGGGTCAGATAATCTTTGTTCATGTGCATAATGCTCTGATTTTAGTGTCCAGGTACTCAGAGGACAGTGTTCGACACTTATTATTCTAGCTTGTAGGAGTACAAAGGTCTTGTCTTCCGCCTTCCTCTCTAGATCTCTTTTTTTTTAGTTGAATGTGGGTGCAGAAGTCTCCAGTATCTTCTTTCTGTTTGTATCTGACAGCCACTTGAGGAGAACGCCAAGTTAAAACTTGCTCAATTTTGCTGCCTGCGTCCTTTTGCCTCGGGTAATTTCTCCTCTTCTGTCTGTTTTAGTGTTTAATGGAGCAAATGCCCTTGTTGCTGCGTTTACAACAACTGAAATTAATAAGTTTCCCTATTTATTAGCATCTTGGTGAGTTTGATCTGAGAACTGTGCGCACGACTAAATTATTCCACTTGAACGAAAATATTGGGACCGGAATTATCAAGGAAATTTTCGATATATTGATGATAAATGGATGAAAATGTGCTAAAATATCGTTATCCCTAAAAAAACCATGACCAGAGGCAGCTGTGCCTCTTCTCAAAATCGAAAAATCCCACCCGCTTGCACTCGTCGGCATTAATTGTATTCCCAACAAATAAATTGATGCCCTGCTTTCTTTTTCCTTTTATGGTAACTATGCCCTGCTTTCTTCTGTCTCGATCATTTTGGAAACTCACCCGGATATCCCCTCCCTCGTTTGAAGGAACTGGGGGTGTCTTGCTTAGCATATATTTATGAATCTGTGAAATTAATATCATCCTTTAGCAAAGCTTTCATCATGAAATGTTAGCGGATGTTGGTTGCAAAGAAACCTTGTGTAAGTATTGTACCTCATTAATTAACTTCTGACGTTCATCAGTGCCATATATTGGGGCTGCTAAACGAGATTTGATAGCCAGGACACGCCTTTCTTCCTTATCGTATTCTACTGAACCCAACGCACCATCTGGGTAGGTGGGCAATAACTCAATAAGTCTAAGTAAAGCATCTCGCACTGCCAACAACAGCAACAGTACATTAACACGATGGCACATTATATAAAAAACAAACTTATAATAGTGAGGCTAAAACCATATCCATTAGCAAAAGCATTTTGGTTTACTGAGAGTAGAAGAATAGCTTGTGCTTTGGTGGATTATGTGTGTCTTCTTCTTTAGTGGGTGAGTGAGTGTTTTAATACATGTATTCTAACATTATATACTAGCATACATAATGTCTCAAAAAGAATGAAATGTACCTCTTTTGTGTTTGCTTGGCACCCAAAAAAAATCTCTGAAATAATCGATCTCGGTTTGCGTTTTGAAGCGACCATTTTCCTGCAAGTAAAGTATACACATCATGACTCTGATAATTTAAAAAAGAAAAAAAAACCCAAGTATCGAAAGAGTCCATAAACCTCAAAAAGCAATAACATATGATATTACCGTCAACAACGTCAATATAGGACCCTTGTTTGGGTATTCCTCCGGAATCGTGATCTGGCCATGATAAATCCCACCCGCGAATTCAGTTCCATTAGGGCCTCTGATTGCAAATTGCAAGTCCCGTGGGTTCGACTGAAAACAAATATCAATGATGTATCAAATTACCATTTTGGCCAAACAACAAGCCCAACAGAAAGCCAAAAAAAAATGAAGCGACAAATTATGCCCGTGTCTTTTTAGTTCTTCGAAAAACGAAAAGGCTTTTTTATTTTTTTGAAAATGACCAAAACATTATCTTAAAACAAAATCGAATGCTAAAAACAATAATTGAAATCAGAATCACGAATCCAACTTCTTAAAAGTGAAATTTAACCAAAACTCAAAGAACAAGAATATTTATAAATAAATAAAAACGAAAGGGGTATTGGAAAAGTAAACGTAACCTCGAGCGCGAGGCACTTGAAATCGTCGGAGGGATTGGATTGCATCTCCTCCAACTCCAATTGAATCCTCCTCGCCAGTGTTTTTTTCCTCTCCTCTACGCACCCATCCAACATCTCTTTCCATGTACTATACGATTCCATTTGATTTTGTTCGATCTGCGCCGATCCGACCCGATCCACAACCACTTCGTCCCGTAACAAAACTTTAAAACAGGAAGTGGGGAGAGGAAAGAGACGCGGCGGTGTTTATAGGCGTGTGAGAGAGAGAGAAAGCATTCGTTTGAGTTTTGTTGGTTCTTCCACGTTATGTCTTTTTGCAGGCGACGTTTGCATTACAAATTATTTTTTATAAAAAATTAATAATAAAATAAAGCACCAACACATGGTTTTGAAAAATATTTGACGAAAGAGTAAATTATGAAGAATCCATTCAGCTTCTATGCATTGGCAGACCATTCAGGATAGAATTTTATACATTTTTATGACTGTTATATGCATGTATTTATCTACGAGCTGCTCAGAATTGACTCAGTCATATTTATATAAACGTATTAGGGTTTTATCGAAATTCTAATATATTATATTTTTTAGTCTTTATATTATTATTATTATTATTATTATTTATTTATTTATTTATTTATTTATACAAATGATATATGAGGAGAAAGTGGAGTTCCTTAATAAAAAAGACCTTATTTAATTTCTGATCCTGAGCCACCTAAAAATGAGGGTCTGACTAAAATTGTCACATTGAATTTAACATGTTGAGAAGCTCTTAATTTACTGGCCAGCAGTACTTTTCCTTCTTTCTTCCTTTTCTCCTCCATGTAGATCTCTCCGATAAGTCTGAAAAGTCATGCACCACTTTCGAGTGTGAACAAAACTTAGTAATTATAGAACAAAACTTACTTAGTTTCTTAGCATTTTGAGTCATTTTATGTCTTTTCTTTTCCAACCCAAAAAAAAAAAAAAAAACTTTCCTTTCTTCTTCCTGTGAAGAAAGTATTGGCAAGTACACATAATTGATGCCAATATCAAAAGCTCCCTTTTGTTTCGGCTCGATTCCCGCATAAGTAATAATATTTATTGTAAATAATGTCATGATAAGGTTTGCTTTTCTGACTTAATGAAGTTGATGTTCATAATGGATTTCATTAATTAATTGTGGGTGTTGTGTGTGTAATTTTCCACGTGGTTTTATTATCTTTGATACAACCTTAACAAAACTTTCCATAATTAACAAGTTAGTGGTGAGGAATGTGACGGATGGCGGTGGCTTAGTGGTGAGGAATGAGGATGGGGGCCTTGTTGCTGCAAAGGCTTGTTTTTGCCTATGAGGTTTAATCACTTGCTTTTAGGACCAAGTTTTGGTATATTGACAATTTCCTGTTACAAAAACATAGAGTAGGTCTTTTAGTGTAACATACAGTTTTCAAGTGACATTCTACTATCCTGGATCAGTGTGGCTTAGAGACAATGCCAAGGTATGTTTTGCATCCATGCATTCATATTTGCATATTTGCAAGATCATCAAAAGTGGATGTCAGATTATAAGACTGATATATGATTTCAGCCTTACATAATCCAGCGCTAGACATAAGTGAGTTTTTAACGATGGTTTTATATTCTTTAGTTTGGTGCTTATTTAAGCAAAAGGGTTCTTTTGTCTTTACAACGGGGTTTTTTTAATTAAGTGGCTTTATTTGTTTTAAATAAATAATATATTTGTTAAAAAGCTCATTTTTGCAAAAAGCCTTTTTTGGTCTTTGACCTAGTTTTAAGTGTGTAATACAAGAAAGAACTTAGCCGTTTTGATTTTGGGGGTGTCTGCAACGTTGAAAAGTGAAAGAACGACAAAATATTTGTAGAGAGGTTTTTGAGAGTTCATATTGAAAACTCATGTGGCTGTTCCTTGTTAGCCTCCATGAGTGATTAAATAATCTTCTTTTCATATATGTGTGAGTTCATGAGCATTATGCATGTTGGTGATCAACAATCGTGCCTTGAGGTGTGAGCAGCCGAGACCAGAGTTGTGCCATCTCTTGTTGACGAAGGAAGACAAGATCACTAGTTGGGTTGAGTAGCAAAGGCGAGTAGGCAAGTTTGCCTTATGAGCGTTAGTCTTGTGAGTTGAGACTTGTAAAACCTTTTTGTATTCTTTCTCTTAGTGATTTGTTCTCCAGCATAGTGCCCGCAGTTGTTTTCCTCATCTTGAGGTTTTTTACTGCGTCAACATATCGTGTGTCCCTTGTGCAATTGTTTGCGTTTTTATTTGAATTTATTCCGCCGTGTATTCTGGAATTTTTGCTTACAGGATTGTTACAGTATTTCAATCCTGCTGTGGTGTTTGAGTATTAAGAAACAGATCAGTTGACCATTCTAGGGAATTTCATTTGGCATCAGAGCGGGTCACTAGACGTGCTTAGTGAGATCGTTGGGCTGTGCTAGAATGGATCGCGCATGTGGGTCTGTGACTCATCCTCCATTTCTTGATGAGAATACTAACTATGGGGCTTGGAAAGCCAAGATGAAATATTTTCTGTGGGCTCAAGGTACAAAGGTGTGGACAACCATTGAGAACGGTTGGGAACCTCCAACAAAGGAAATTAAAGGGCGTGGAAAAGAGGTTGAAGGTGAAGGCCAGTCGACAACAAAGGTTGTAATTAAGCCAAACACAGAGTGGATTGATGAAGAAAATGATATGAGTGCCTACAATCAAAAAGGTCTCAACTCCATCTTCACTGCGGTATCAGCTGAAAATTTTGAGTTTATATGTCATTGCAAAACCTCAAAGCAGGCTTGGGATATTCTGGAAATTACTCATGAAGGAAATGCCACTGTCAGAGAATCCAAACTTCAACAACTGATGACTAAGTTTGAAAATATGAAGATGCTTGAAACTGAAAAATTTGCTGAATTTTATGCTAGGTTGAGTGTGGTGGTGAATGCTTGCAGCAACCCTGGTGATGCAATTCCTGAACACAGAATAGTGAAAAAGATTTTGAGATCTCTGCCTATGATGTATCACGCCAAGAAGACAGCGATTGAAGAGTGTAAGAATTTGAACAATTATAAACTTACTGAGTTAATTGGTTCTCTTACCACTTATGAGATGGAATTTCCAGAAATAAAGAAAAGCAAGGGCATTGCTCTAAATACAGTAAAAGAAGATGGGAGTGACAGTGTGTCAGAAGACAAAATGGATTATGCTTTGCTTACAAAACAATTTCGTAAGTTTTTAAAATCTAAGAATTCAAGACCTGGTGAACAAAGAGGAAATTCAGGTTCAAGTACAAGAGGGAGTCGTCCTCGTATAAAAATTTGTTTAGGAGCTCCTAGAGGACTCCATATTTTAGGAGGTGGATAGGGAGAGTGGTTGGAGTTGTATTTTTACGATTTCTCCCTAAAATTTGTCTAAGGAGGTGATTTGGGGAGCCCATTGTGGATGCTCTTAAAAACTATATTCGATTCTTTCTCTTCTAATATAACTTATATAAAAATGAAATAAAAAACAAAAATTATGGAGTCATGTTAGTAGCACTATTCTGAAAAGAATTACCTACAATGATTCTGATGGAAGAAATATTAGGACTAAAGATTCCACATTGTAAAAATAATATATCCTAGAGTTAATATGATAACTTAGTTTCACCACACATCTTCAACATCATTCTCTTACAAGCCGATTTTTAAAAACAAGTCTTACCCATAAGCTCTTCATAGATGGGCAAGGCTTTTGTCTTTACAGACTTTGGCCTTGGCTCGAGCTCTGGAGTGACCACGATGAGACCTTAACATGACTGATCCCATTAACTTTCCTTTCTTTTCCAAAAGAAAAAAGAAAAGAAAAAAAAACACACTTTCTTTTCTTCTTCCTGTCAACGAAGTGTTGGCAAGTACACATATTTTATGTCAATATTAAAAGCTCCCTTTTGTTTCGGCTAACTCAATTCCCGCATACTTAATAATATTTATTGTAAATAATGTCATGATAAGGTTTGCTTTTCTGCCTTCAAGTTGATGTTCATAATGGATTTCATTAATTAATTGTGGGTGTCTAAATTATTTTAAAAAAGAATATATAAAAAAGATATGTTACTCATCTATATAACACTACATGAAGATGACATAACAATTAAAAAGACAAAAAGAAAAAAAGAAAAAAAAAGGCCTATTAATAAATATTAAATATGCTATTAAGTGGACATGAGAAACTATAACATATTCAATTAATAGTGAATTGTGAAGTTTTTTCTCAGACCAAACAAAAACCTATTAATAAATATTAGATATTTTTATAAGTTATTGAAGACCCATCTTTTTGGGCTTTACCACCAAAACACACGCTTGCTTTTGGAGAACTCAAACTTAAATGAAACGATGTGTTTCATTAAAAGAGATCAAAGAAATTAGGTTTGGTTTTCTTCTTCGTGAAAACCTGAGCCATGGACTCCGTAGCCACAGGCTGGCTGCGCCTTTTTGCATCTTACACTTTAAGAAATTTTCTGGTGAGGGGAGGTGCAGTTGCACCTCCTTGTGACTCTGTGGGTTTGCCACTGCACATATATGGAATCCAACACTCATATTGTCATCATCATCATCACGAATCCCTAAGTTCTGATGTAATTGTATGATGAGGATCAATGAATTTTTAGCCTTAATCTCTTGTATGATATAACACTCATCATAATAAACATGTAAGACATTAATAAAATAACAGTAAACGATGATTGATGGCGATAATTGCGCACTATGCTTGAAATAATAATAAATGTTTGATGGATGGGTGATAATCCTGCACCATTCTTTAAAAAAAAATTAAATGTGTAGTAAAATAAATGTGCTTGTATGAGTACTAATTCTACTCCATACTTTAAATAAAAGTAAGGGCAGTTGTGTGGACGATAACCCGCGCTACACTTTTAAATAAATACTGTTGTATGAGCAATAAAACTGCACCATACTTTATATAAAAATAAAAATGTGGGGTATAAAACCATGCCACTTGAAAGTAAGAGCATCCACAATGGGCTCTCTAAACCACATCCTTAGATAAATTTTAGGGAGGAATCATAAAAATGCAACTCCAACCACACTCCCTATCCACCTCCTAAAATAAGGAGTATTCTAGGAGCTCCTAAATCTGATGAAAGAGAAATGACTCCTAGTGGCTCCATATAATTTAATGCTGCTTTATTTAATGAGTATTTCAAACCTTTATTTAATGCTAACTATTTTTTATTTTATTTTATAATAGAGATGGACCAATTAAAAAAGAGTTAAAACATTTATAACTCTCTAAAT